CAGACGAATTCTAACCTAGATCTTCACGGATCGGAATTAAAATGTAGATAACCTACTGTATATCATTCACATTCTAACCTAGATCTTCACGGGTCCTGTCATTAAAATGTAGATAACCTACTGTATATCATTCACATTCTAACCTAGATCTTCACGGACTGGCATTAAAATGTAGATAACCTACTGTATATCATTCACATTCTAACCTAGATCTTCACGGGTCCTGTCATTAAAATGTAGATAACCTACTGTATATCATTCACATTCTAACCTAGATCTTCACGGGTCCTGTCATTAAAATGTAGATAACCTACTGTATATCATTCACATTCTAACCTAGATCTTCACGGATCGGCATTAAAATGTAGATAACCTACTGTATATCATTCACATTCTAACCTAGATCTTCACGGACCGGCACATTAAAATGTAGATAACCTACTGTATATCATTCACATTCTAACCTAGATCTTCACGGGTCCTGGCATTAAAATGTAGATAACCTACTGTATATCATTCACATTCTAACCTAGATCTTCACGGACCTGCATTAAAATGTAGATAACCTACTGTATATCATTCACATTCTAACCTAGATCTTCACGGGTCCTGCCATTAAAATGTAGATAACCTACTGTATATCATTCACATTCTAACCTAGATCTTCACGGGATCTGGCATTAAAATGTAGATAACCTACTGTATATCATTCACATTCTAACCTAGATCTTCACGGACCGGCATTAAAATGTAGATAACCTACTGTATATCATTCACATTCTAACCTAGATCTTCACGGATCTGGCATTAAAATGTAGATAACCTACTGTATATCATTCACATTCTAACCTAGATCTTCACGGATCCTGCATTAAAATGTAGATAACCTACTGTATATCATTCACATTCTAACCTAGATCTTCACGGATCCTGTCATTAAAATGTAGATAACCTACTGTATATCATTCACATTCTAACCTAGATCTTCACGGACCGGCATTAAAATGTAGATAACCTACTGTATATCATTCACATTCTAACCTAGATCTTCACGGACCTGCATTAAAATGTAGATAACCTACTGTATATCATTCACATTCTAACCTAGATCTTCACGGATCCTGGCATTAAAATGTAGATAACCTACTGTATATCATTCACATTCTAACCTAGATCTTCACGGGTCCTGTCATTAAAATGTAGATAACCTACTGTATATCATTCACATTCTAACCTAGATCTTCACGGACTGGCATTAAAATGTAGATAACCTACTGTATATCATTCACATTCTAACCTAGATCTTCACGGACCGGCATTAAAATGTAGATAACCTACTGTATATCATTCACATTCTAACCTAGATCTTCACGGGCCTGCATTAAAATGTAGATAACCTACTGTATATCATTCACATTCTAACCTAGATCTTCACGGACCGGCATTAAAATGTAGATAACCTACTGTATATCATTCACATTCTAACCTAGATCTTCACGGACCCTGCATTAAAATGTAGATAACCTACTGTATATCATTCACATTCTAACCTAGATCTTCACGGGTCCTGTCATTAAAATGTAGATAACCTACTGTATATCATTCACATTCTAACCTAGATCTTCACGGATCCTGCATTAAAATGTAGATAACCTACTGTATATCATTCACATTCTAACCTAGATCTTCACGGACCGGCATTAAAATGTAGATAGATAACCTACTGTATATCATTCACATTCTAACCTAGATCTTCACGGATCCTGCATTAAAATGTAGATAACCTACTGTATATCATTCACATTCTAACCTAGATCTTCACGGGGCCGGCATTAAAATGTAGATAACCTACTGTATATCATTCACATTCTAACCTAGATCTTCACGGATCCTGTCATTAAAATGTAGATAACCTACTGTATATCATTCACATTCTAACCTAGATCTTCACGGGTCCTGTCATTAAAATGTAGATAACCTACTGTATATCATTCACATTCTAACCTAGATCTTCACGGGACCTGTCATTAAAATGTAGATAACCTACTGTATATCATTCACATTCTAACCTAGATCTTCATCGACCGACATTAATATGTAGATAACCTACTGTATATCATTCACATTCTAACCTAGATCTTCACGGATCGGCATTAAAATGTAGATAACCTACTGTATATCATTCACATTCTAACCTAGATCTTCACGGACTGGCATTAAAATGTAGATAACCTACTGTATATCATTCACATTCTAACCTAGATCTTCACGGGTCCTGTCATTAAAATGTAGATAACCTACTGTATATCATTCACATTCTAACCTAGATCTTCAGGGGCCGGCATTAAAATGTAGATAACCTACTGTATATCATTCACATTCTAACCTAGATCTTCACGGACCGGCATTAAAATGTAGATAACCTACTGTATATCATTCACATTCTAACCTAGATCTTCACGGGTCCTGTCATTAAAATGTAGATAACCTACTGTATATCATTCACATTCTAACCTAGATCTTCACGGATCCGGCATTAAAATGTAGATAACCTACTGTATATCATTCACATTCTAACCTAGATCTTCACGGACCGACATTAAAATGTAGATAACCTAAAATGTGTATACCATTCACATTCTAACCTAGATCTTCACGGACTGGCATTAAAATGTAGATAACCTACTGTATATCATTCACATTCTAACCTAGATCTTCAACCTGTCATTAAAATGTATATCATATCATTCATTCTAACCTAGATCTTCACGGGTCCTGTCATTAAAATGTAGATAACCTACTGTATATCATTCACATTCTAACCTAGATCTTCACGGGTCCTGTCATTAAAATGTAGATAACCTACTGTATATCATTCACATTCTAACCTAGATCTTCACGGATCGGCATTAAAATGTAGATAACCTACTGTATATCATTCACATTCTAACCTAGATCTTCACGGACCGACATTAAAATGTAGATAACCTATTGTATATCATTCACATTCTAACCTAGATCTTCACGGACTGGCATTAATAGGTATATAACTTACTGTATATCATTCACATTCGAACCTAGATCTTCACGGACCGGCATTAAAATGTAGATAACCTACTGTATATCATTCACTTTCTAACCTAGATCTTCACGGGTCCTGTCATTAAAATGTAGATATCCTACTGTATATCATTCACATTCTAACCTACATCTTCACGGACCAGCATTAAAATGTAGATTACCTACTGTATATCATTCACATTCTAACCGAGATCTTCACGGATCGGCATTAAAATGTAGATAACCTACTGCATATCATTCACATTCTAACCTAAATCTTCACGGGTCCTGTCATTAAAATACAAACAAATGATATGTATGAGAAAGAGATTGTGAATACTTACGTGAGTACTTTTCAAAGTGTATCAGAGAGTAGTAAGATCGAATTAATATAGTGCCTGTTTCACACCTGTTGCTGCCGTACAAATTATCGATTGTTCACCAGATGCGTGTCGACAGTTTAACTTTAGTCCTGATTGCATGTTCATGTCAGTTGGGGGCCAAAAAAAGATAATAAGCCATTTTGTAGATTGTACAGATTCTGGAACTTAAATATCAAATCAAAACTGGAAAAGGGCTTATCCTCTTACTTAAGATCTTTATAACATTTGGAATATTATGTGTTTACTAAATCTGTATCATACAGTGGTGAGGATATTGTTTTTATCGCGTCTATTTCACACCTGTTGCTGCCGTATGGCATTGAATAGTGTAGGTAAAATCTAGCTCCCGTGGTTAAAATCGTCCCGAGACATGGACCATTACCATTACCTTTGATGGCATTACAGGTAATCATTACATTTGGCAAGGCATGCTGAGTGTTTAAAACACCCATAAAATGCTTAAAGGAAGCTGTGGTACATCATTTTCACTATTCGAACTGTTTCGTTTGTTTGTTGTTTATCGTTGCACTCAGCAATATTCAGGCTATATATGGCGGTTTTGAACAGTTTCAAAGTTTTCTTTGTGTGTCAGTTTTCTCTTAATTCTTAAAAGCAACCCAATAAAACTTGAACAAACTTGCTTTCACATATTTTGTATATGTGATTATTTGGCGGGGAACATTTGATGCACTGTACATCATTATATACTGTTGGGTAATGAAATTGTATACATTTACCGTTAGCCATCAACAATTAGGGAAATCCCAAACCCCGCGGGATTACATCGGTTGACATGAAGATACATTATAAGGGCCCATGCTTTTCGTAACAAAGAGGCGACTAACGGGATCGAGTGGTCAGGCTCGCTGACTCGGTTGACACATGTCACCGTATCCCAATTGCGTAGATCGATGCTCATGCATGGTGTTTGATCACTGGATTGTCTGGTCCTGACTCGAATATTTACACACCGCTGACATTTTGCTTGAATACTGCTGAACGTGGCGTTAAACAACAACCAACCAACCAACCAACATTGTAAGTTGTTTAAAGGGGGGCTACTCTCATTTGCTACACAAAGGTGAAGGTCATAAGCAGATATTGCGGTGAATCTCGTTTAAAAATATGTTTTGTTCATTAGGGATGTTGTGAACATGTTTCATGTCATGATGCTTACGTTACTACAATATAAATGAGATTTGTATCCTCCCTCTATTTCCCCTGACCACCAGACTAGGGGAAACAGTAGACGTACATCTGCAACTGACGCTCCCCAAAAAAAACAACAAAAAAACAAAAACCCAAAACAAAACAAAACAAAACAAAACAAACAAACGACAATAAAAATCAAAACAAACAAAACAATCAATAAACAAACCAAAAAACATAAACGAAAAAAACACCAGTACCAGTGCCACTTCCAGACGATGCGCTACACACGTTTCTTTGCACGGGCCCCAGTTCAATCAGATATTCCCTACTGATATACTGTATGACGTCATACAATACGTATGACGTCATACAATACGTATGACGTCATTTAGGAACTTGTAATGTTTCAACACTTGAAACATGGTGGTCATTGCAAGATACGAAGACGTTACAAGAGATAATAAGGAATACGCTCACTTGTGAAATGTGGCAAACTAACTCTGTAAGTATATTATTAAAAGCAAATGTTTCCAGGAATTTTTATAATTAACGTCAACAAACCAGTAGCGTATCACCACAGGGCAACAAACAAGACTCACATCATATTTGCTCTCGGATGTAATGAGACAACAAGGAGGCCTAAATCGAGTAAATCTAGAGATACCAAGAGCGAGATTTGATTTGTAGGGCTGTAATACATTTCCTGGATATACGCAATAAAGCAACAAATATTTTGTCGGGTGCACGTGGATTTTGTTTGGTACATGTACTTCCATTCTGTTTCCATCCAACTGACATTCAAAATATTCATTGTGGGAATACATGGGTGTATATATATTTGCTACTGTTAGTGTGATATTAAGAAAACGAACTAACTGATAATGATATTCATGCATTACCTATTCAATTTGATATTCATTACTGAGCGTGACTGTATAAATATTGAGACCAAAAATATTCTACAAATACACATAAAACATTAACGGTTAGAAGTTAGTTCGTTGTGTAACTCCGTAGTCAGCAGTATTCCAGCTATATGGCGGAAGTCTGTGAATAATCGAATCTGGACCAGACAATCCAGTGATCAACTGACATCTGTCAAAGTAATGGGGAACCGATGACATGTGTCAGCCAGGTCAGCGAGCCTGACCACCCGATCCCGTTAGTCGCTTCTAACGACAAGCATAGGTTGCTGAAGACAAATTCTAACCCTGATTTTCACGAATAGACATTAAAATGCAGATAGCATAGTGTATGACAGATATATTTAAATGACAGCGATAAGTAACCCGTGGAGGTAGTTCATAATCAGATTAGCAAAGATACTGATCTTCGCATCATGACAGATGAAGAAAAACTTACCCTTAATTGCGGAAGTATGATATATTGAACGCCTGCTACATTTTGAAGCTGTGGTTCATATTTGAAATATTTATTAGAAATAACATATTAACAGCCACAGTAGAATAAGCTTGGAGTATATGGACCAACAACTGAGTGTGTTGAACAATTTAATCATGTAGACATTTACACCCTTTGTTTTACACGTGATCTTTGTTGGCCCTATGAAGATTTTGCTGCTTGCAAATGTTAAACGAACATAAACTAAACACTTTGTATTCCGTGTAATTGAAAATACCTAGAACTGTTAAATGAACTATGTCTATTTAACCACCACCCATGTTTTTATACCCTTGTTAAAGGTAATCTGTTGCTGTGTAAGTATGTGTAAAATAGATTGGTACATTGACGACTATACGTTTGTGAATGAATTTGCAACCACATTATTCCTGTCATGTTAGTAATATTGGAAATATTAAGATAACTATCAACAGTTTTTATTTCGTTACCTCGCTGACAATTTATCTAAAATATCTGACAGGTGTTATTCACGCGTACAGATTATCGATTGATCACCAGTTGCTTGTCGACAGTTTAAATTTTTGCCAATTGGTGTGAATTGCCACGTTTAAATTTTGGTCCTGATTACATTTTGGTGACCCCAAAAAAGATGATAAGTCATCTTATACATTGTACAGATTCTGGAACTTAAATGTCCAATCAAAACTGGAAAGCGTCTATTTCACACCTGTGTCAAGGTCTGGGTTGTTTGAATACACTTTTCGGACCACGCCTTGCAGTGTAATTACATTATACAAGCTCGCATTGAAAATTAAATGTTCAACATCTTTGCGAAATTTTAGTTTGACTCAAATCTCACTTTTCGCGCAACATTCACCTTTCAACACGCACGCACGCACACGCACACACACGCACACACACACGCCCATTATGATATGCTATGGTTATATTTTCAGAGGGGCGGTGGGATAGCCTAATGGTTAAAGCGTCCGCTCGTCACGCTGAACACAATATGTGAAGCCCATTCCTGGTGTCCGTGATATTGCTGGAACTCACTATAACTCACTCACTCACTGTATTTTCAGAAACACTTGGAAACAGAAAGAGCAGCGGAAGGATTGAACCTGTTGCCTAGACGAAATACCAACAGAAGTATCACAACATAATGAGTGACAGCCGTAACAACGTTACCCACACCTACACATGTGCCCATGCCGTTGACGACGACGTCATGGTTCGCAACGACGTCACAGATGGAGGAGGAGTGCGACTTTCACCAACTCACTGCAGTCGCTATGTCAGCTTTAGCTCCACTCAGCACCACACCATGTCAGGTGACACGACCTCTCTGGCACCACCAGTTGGGACAATGTCTTCCCCTGATTCATCTCACTTGCATTCCTATGGTCCTAGCAGTAGGTCGGGCACCCAAAAGCCAAATATCTTGAGAAAAACATCTCGAAGACGGGAGGTCAGTACAAGTAGTCATGGTAACAGTGCTAATCCCACTCCGAGTCTTAAAGAAAAACGTTTATCAAAAGGCTGCCCAAACAAACGTTTGAAGAAGGCCGTCAGCAACATTTGTGGTCAGCAAAGACAATCTGTTACTGGCAGTGTTTGTGCAGACAACCTCGTGAATTCATTGACAGAAGCTTGTAGTTTACCTGTCGTAAATAAGCACGTGTCCGATTTTCCACAAGATATCAATAACAGCATTGGAACTGTCCTCCCATTTTACCACCTTGACAAACATCATCACAGATATAATGGTTCTGTTTCGCTGGAAGCTGAGACACCATCACAGCCTGCAATGAGTTCTGTATTCACGCTCAAGCCTCATACAACCAGACCAATGAATACTAGTAAATCACTTGTAAAAGCATCGCCTACAGAACACTCAGTTCTACCTCCTGCGACTGCTAGTCCATCTACGAAGGGTCCAACACAACTCAAAGGCAATACCTATTTAGAGAGAGTCAAAGGAAACACAATGCTTTCTCGATGCCTGCCTGTTCAGATTTGTCATACAATTTCCATACAAAGGAGTGCCACCAGTAAGGGCACAGGTGACACGGGCGTTGAGGATGATAAAGACACCTCGGGCGCTGGGCTGCAAAGTCCACAATCTCTGAAGACCCTACGGACCATGACTGACAGACGAGTTTCATCTTTGCCCGATAATGTCATAAAATCTGAACCTAATATTTCACAAGCATGCGATGCTACGCCTGTAGACCTGAAAGAATCTAACAATGGCAGATCCGTCTTGTCACAGAATCAAGATAATGGCTCTGAGGTAAACTCAGTGTGTCACTTTGGACAAAGAGGTTCCAAGAGAGGGAGACCTAAGCCAAAGACAACCAAAGACACGGTTAATGCAGCACCTCAGCCTTCACCATCTCCGCAAATTTCAAAATCAGCAGCCACACATTCCAACAAAACTGACCCTTCAACTACATGCATACTGCCCACTGACGGTTCTATACCTTTTGACCCAACGGCTTATGCACTTTGCAACACTGGTCGGTCACCATTTGGATTTTACCACAATGACAAACTGTATTTGTATGTGCCTGATCCAGAAACTGGTGACGGTCAGTCTACTATTAAAGAAGGGGTACAGAAGGGGCTAGTAGCTATTCAACCAAAGTCGGTGAAAAGTCCTCTAAGTCTGCAGGCTGACCAGCTGATGGGTACATCAGAGAAGCTGGTTAACCGCATTAAGGATAGCTCTGACACCATTCCAATTGTCATCATGAGACCGAAAAGAAAAGCTGAAGTACCTCCGAGAAATGAAGCGCAAAGAGGTAAGGGGACTGTAGCTGGGGCGACGATACACAGACAAAAGACCGGTTGCTATTCTTCATCTACGAAATCTGAAGAAAATACTGGTAGAAAATCATCGACCTCCCATTCTGTTAAAGACAACGCAACCAAGTCTGCTAGAAGTGCAGAGTCTGTGAATGGTCATGGTTTCAGTGACATTATTTGTAGTATAAGTCGTATGCATGCACAGCGCAAGGACAACACAAAAGCCACAAGTTCACAGGGGGTCCAGATGAAGGACTGTTACATTGACATGGGAACCAGGAAGTCATTACCCGACACTCTGGATCTCCAAACACAACATGACACAACGTCATGCAAAGAACTAAATAAAGGCCACAATTCTTCATCTCAGGTGACAAAAGTTCACATCAAACCTACCTGTTTGCCAAAATCCAAAGTTAAAGTTACCAGTTCTGAAAAAAGTCCAAAGTCGGGAAAAGGTGGAAAACTTATGATCAAGCAGGAACCAGATCAGCTTCAAGGAAAAATAGATGATAACAGGATGGCATCCTTGATATCACAGTATCACAACAGAGGCAACAAACAATCTGAAGACGGTATGAAACAGCCTTTTAAAGTCATTCTGCAAACACCTAAAGCAGTTGTTGTACCAAATGAATGCCCTCGTAAAATCAATTCACCAAAACAGCTTGTTGAGCTGGAGTGCACTGAAGCACCATACAACATTAAGGACTTTTCACTTACTAAAGTGCATCAGTGCACGGGATCAACAGGCATCTCTGTAATCCGGAGAAAACTGACAAAGACATCAGGTTGTATATCTGACCATTCCCAAACCAATACTCACAGAGATAACAAGCTCCTAAAAAGTAGTGGAGAGAAATCAAACAACATGACTGGCAGGAACTTGAGGGCAGCAGAACCAAATATGTACTATTCAAATGGCAGGTTAAATACCAAGTCAAAGATTAATTCGAATCCAATAACAACAGGTCTTGGATCGATTGGGTTGCAGAGAAATGTGAAGTTAGAATCTAAGACAACATCAAATACACTGGGGTGCTGGTTTCAGGATATTGGCCAGCTATTCTATGCTGCCGGGGCACAGATTAACGTAACGGATCCCTTCACAACATCACAGAGGACAACTATTTTCACAATTTGCTTCACGACTCAGGACTCCTTCCTAAAAATTGAACATGATGTACCATCCAGCCTTCCTGCTTATCTTTCATACTCGGACGACCACGTCGTCACCACGATCTTCACAGGCCACATGTGTTCCGGGTTCTTCCTCGTGACGCCAACAGGCATGGTCAAGGATGACCCCAAAAGACCCCATCTGTACACAGAGTCGGCACTCCTGGAACCCTACTCTTCCAAACATCCGCTTCCTGCGCATTCAGTATGCCTGGTCCTTGGGCCGCTGGAAGAGGACTGGAAAATATCACTTCAGCTTGCAAATAGTCTGCCAAAGAGGACCTCTGTAGATAAATTGGTGGAACACTTCATTGGCGAAGAGGATTGCAGGTGCCTCTCCACATCACACAGTATGGAACAGATCGGAATCAGCGATTCTTACAAGAGACGTCCGTTGTCAAGTGTTCAGTACAAGAAACACCGGGACCACATTGAGGTGTTGAGCTGTAAATGCAGGGAGTGTAATCCTCTCAGCAGGTGGCGGAGGGGAAAGAAGGCAATCTCTGCACCGCCTCTTAGCAGCGGTGATGAGGACAGTTTGTTGAACACTACAGGTGATGAGGATAAAGGCTTCTTGAATACTTCCCAGCCTCATGTCAAGGAGGCTGGTCTCCTAGATGATGGCTTCAATCGGCCAGGATGCTGGGACCCTTATTTACCAGTTAAAACCGAATATCTAGGTGAGACCTTTTCTATGGTATCTCCTGTAAGGCTCGGCTGTACGACCAACCATGCCAACATAAAGCAGATGAAGATGGTCGAGGCTACCCTCAAACAAACAGCAGGCGGTCAGCAGATTGAAGTGGTTAACTCTGTTGTGATACCAAACCGGAAACCAAAGCAGAAAGAGGGGAAGATGGTTGTGAAAATGGGATTTCCCTGTAGACGGACCTGTGATCATCCAGTTCGGCAGTAGCAGCACATGAAATAGACTGGCCAAATTGCATTACGCTGGATACACAAGTACACAAAGCGATCGTAGCGCTACGACTGTCGTAAGTCTATGTTAAAGTATGGGAGTTACGCTCACCTTAGCGCTACGATAGCTTTGTGAAACGGGGCATTGGACTGTAACACTGTGTAACGTCACACCACAAGCTTTGATGAAATGCTTACAATTATTCCAATTAAATATATTTCAAGTACTTCTTTTCTTATATATTGTATAAGGTGGAATGGAAGTTGCCAATGCCTCCTCCAGTGAAGAAACACTCAGCAAGTCCAACCTGTTACTTTTGTTGGAAAACAATGTGAGACTAACCTTGATGTCTTACTCGACCAATAATACCAGTCAAGTGATGTCTTATACATCCCACATCCTTATCGAAAGTAGTCAGATGAAACATACGGTATATATTTGGGGTTACGGTTCCTTATTAAAATACAGATTCTAGTATTTGGGGATTTGAGTCCCATACGCGAACCCGGGCTCTTGTAAGGCACTTAATCGCCAGCCTACAAAGTCAGCGATCTAACCCACTCAGCCTTCGCAACTTCCTGTAAACTGGAAATCTGACAAATGACAGTCTAGATCGGCCAACGTGCTCATTTTTAGTGGCTGAGTGGGTAAGATAGCAGACTTTGTCTACTGGCGATTAGGTGAATCACTTTGAGGGAATGGGATTCAACTATCAAAAGTACTAGAATCTATACTTAAGTTGAAGTGTAATTCCAAATATAACGTATATGACATGACAATAATTCTGTCCGTATAGGATTTACCTCAGGTTGCAATATACTTGTCTAATACATCGGTTCCATTTTGTCAAAATAATTCTGTTTAAAGTGAGAGGAACGATATCTGTCTCTTGGAACAATACTGTATGTCTCAGATGGGAATAATACTGGTTGTCTCACATTTGAATAAAAATTCTGGTTACAACATTTCTGTGTTATCTTATCACTGATTTGATTCTATTTTGCTCGATTTGAAACTCGTGGCGATCCAATTGTGGAATTCCAGCTAAACCTGCAAGACGAAAATAGCCAGGGCGGCCAGTTGCTGCCTCGACTGTAGACGGATACTATGTTTGGTTTAAATGTTTGGTATGAATGTCATCTGTGGGAGGACTTCATCTTGTTTCACAGGCCATGTAAGATATTCGTTTCGGTTAAACTCCTACATTTGATAACAGTTCGTAAGAATTTGCCTGTATAAGTTTTTGGAACCACGCATGCGCAATGTGTGTATCTAGCCATGTGGTTATGCCGCGGAAGTTGAATACAGTTGAGAGGAGCTCACTATCGTGTCATGTTGTTAATCCACGCCAGCGCAATACAAAACAGGCCATTTAGCAGGGTGCCCAGATTTATTTTGCAAACTTTCAGTGCCATTGTGGCGACTATAAACTTTCCGATTCTCTCAATGCGAATCGAACCATTAAAATTCAAATCCGATGTCGTGTTCTCCATATGACTAATTCTAACCCGGATCTTCAAAGGGAGAACTTTGTGATCTCACACTGTGTCTGCACTGGATCTGAAATGATTTTGATCGAATTAGTGTTGTAATGTCATGACATATTGTAACGTTCAGTTTGAGGGAAAAAATGTGTAGCTGTAGAGGGTTGCATTGTTAATAAGTATTAGTTAGTAGCACTATTCTCATGCACAACACCAATGAAGTGAGTCCAGAGTGAGTGAGTGACTTTAGTTCTAAGCCACTTTTAGGAAAATCCAGCAATATCACAGAGGGGACACGAGAAATGGGCTTCAGACATTGTACCCATGCGGGCAGTACGCCAGAAATAGGCTTATAACACAACACACATAACCAATAACCATAAACAGTGGTATTCTTTTGTCGATATTTACTTGATTTCGTGTTTGATATATACTGAGTCAAAAAAGAAACTTCACATTCTTTCTTCACTATAAAAGAACAAGAGATAGTAAGATGGTTAAATTGTTATTATTTCATTGCTGAGATCTGTGTGATGTACTCGATACACTGACAGTGCCATAATCAGTTCCATTAAGCTACACCGCCGTTCCAAAACATGGGTATACAGAATGTCAAGTCACAAGAATAAAAATGCGAAATTTCTCAGTTCAATATCGTGTATGGCCGCCCCGCGCATTCACCACTGCCAAACACCGTCGCCTCATCGACTGCCTGATGTTTGTGAACACGTGGTTGGGGATTCTGCGCCATTGATCTTGCAAGGCAGCGCCAAGTTCCTGCAATTTCTGAGGTTGGTTCCTAAGACCACGAAGCCTTCTCCCAAGTGCATCCCAAACGTGCTCTATTGGATTAAGGTCAGGGGACCTCGATGGCCAGTCCATGACGTTGATTCCAGCGTTTTGAGGGAAATTTCGTGTCAACATCGCGGTATGCGGCCGAGCATTATCATGCTGGAACTGTAGACCTGGGCCATGAGCCGCCATGAAAGGAACGAGTTCAGGGGTGAGCACCTGGTCGCGGTAAGCAGCAGCTGTGAGGTTTCCACGGATGACCAGAAGTCGGGAACGGTTGTTCCCACAGAAAGCACCCCACACCATGCAACTTCCGCCCCCGAATCTGTCGACTTCCTGTACACAACATTGGGCATACCGTTCACGACGTCGTCTCCAGACTCTATGCCTGCCGTCCGCGAATCTGAGGGTAAACCTGGATTCATCGCTAAAGACGACTCGATTCCAGCCTCTCTGGGTCCATCGGAGGTGACGTTGGGCCCACAGCAGACGTTGACGTTGATGAAACGGCGTCAATATTGGCCCACGATATGGACGTCGAGAATGGAGATTGGCAGCCCGCAACCGATTTCGAATGGTCTGTGAGGACAGTCGACCTCTAAACATCTCAGCCCTGGTTCGTGTAGCCGGCAGAAATCTGTCGCGTTGGTGACGTAGGACGATTTGACGGTCTTCTGCTCGTGACGTCACACGTGGACGACCCGACCTTGGGCGATCAGAAGTGGTGCCAGTTTGTTGTAGACGACCTCGCAAGTCATACACAGTACGACGGCTGCATCCTATTGCTCTTGCGACGTCAATAACTGATCTTCCCGCTTGCAACATGCCAACGGCACGTTCACGTTGCACATTTGACAATCGTGGCATTTCAAGTACCGTTAGAACTGTGGTTTAAAAGGGTTTTTTCACTTCTTGAGGCCAATGCAAACACGTGCATATGAAGAAAACTCCGATGCGAAGATCACGTGATCTACTGCACGTGCAAAACCTGATTTGGCACTAACGTCATTTGCACGACGAATGGATGGGTTTGAGTGGGTTTTTCTAACGTTTTTCTAGAGTCGAAAGAAAATGTACATAGATGTATCATCAGAGAAAAATTATTCATTATTTTTCAAATTACATTTTGTGAAGTTATTTTGTGACTCAGTATATTAAGTTCAAGACTTACGTGTTAACTAACATTGAAAACTCTCAACATCGCGGGGCTTCACAATGACCATGTGTGTGGCTATGATTGGTGACTGAGAGGCGCTTAGCGCCCTCGATGACCCAGCAAAAGGCTGACGTCACAGGGTATTGTTACTCCAGTGAGTTGGGCAACAAAGTTTCACAAAATACGTCATATGATATTGTAACGGGTTTGTGGTGCTGAATATTTAATTCGAAAAATGGGCCGTTTTCAAAACATACCCAAATTAACGAGCAAAATAATGCAAAAAATAGATTAGCTACTTATTATATCTGTATTGTTCTGTCAATATAACTCCTTGGTAATTAAGATAGATATATTTTTGATGTAAACTTGCCCTTTAAAAACTTTGTGTAACCTCTAAAGGTGACATATGAGTAAATTATCTATGAACGACCAACAACTAAAATTGAAATCGATCCTGTTTTACAGTGACAAGAAATCACTGCATATTAAATAAACAACAGTACACATGTTTCCCACAGTCTGCTGATGATTCCATATTAATAAATACCTGATTTCTATGGCGCGAGACGTTGTGACCCCCAAAAGTCAGAAACGGTATAATATACCCGGAGCACACCCGTAATAGCTCTACCTAAGAATGACTCACTCTATTAACCCGAGCTAGGTTCTTTGTGTTTGTAACAATATACATTCACCATGTATTGCGTGATTTCCAAATCAAGTTTTCAATATTTTTTTACTATTTTCATATTTCACTTTCATAATAACATTACGTTAAGGATATTAACATTTTAACGAAAAATATACATGTGCTCAATGGATATAATCCGGGTGTGTCTATTATTCACATGGTGTATAATTCATGCATGTAAATTTTGCTCTTTATTATAACATAATATAATTGCACTTCTTCCGGTGAATTACGTTTTCTTACATACTGAATATAATTCCAAAATGTATGATTTAATTTTTGATTAAGTTGTGACCACAATGATCTCAATTACACTTATAGTGATTGTAACGATGCGACAGAGCTGTCGTTACCTTATTTCTCAGGCCCTGGGGGCATGAACATGTTTGTAGTGTAGACTGTGCTGTCGTCATCCTTACACCTTGAGAGACGCTGAATTATTCATATAATGCCACTCATAGGGTACATTCACTGAGTGTTTGGTGGAGAATGGTTCTCTAGGGTCCTGCAAGGGCAGACTAAATGGAGTTCGTTGAAGGGCAGGGGTGTAGTTAATAAATGAATTCACTTATCCACCGCTATCTGATATTTCACATCTCATGGGTGCATGTAGTTTGTTTGCTTGTTGTTCAACGCCGCACTCAGCAATACTCCAGCTATATGGCGTCGGTCTTTGAATAATCGAGTAGGGACCAGACAATCCAGTGAACAACATCATGAGCATCGATCTACGCAATTGGGATACGATGACATGTGTCAACCAAGTCAGCGAGCCTGACCACCCGATCCTGTTAGACACCTCTTACGACCAGCATGTAACATAGCTTGATTATTGCTGATGCGGCGATAAACAACAGTCACTCAGTGAACCAATGTCATCAGCATCCGGACCATATAATTGGGGGACGTCACACATGCATGTCACACAGTATATGCACATTGGTCCCGACATTAACAGTAGAATTACATTGCCAGAAGGGATCTAGCGAAATTAGGTTAAACCATCTTCAAAGAGAATTAGGTCTATCTTTGGCATATATTGAAATTTTGATCATCTACCAACCTTGGTTCACATGAAAAAGTAACGCCTCTATTGGCGTAAGAATGTTGTACAACTCCATGAGGGTGTACCGTAAGGCCATGGTCCGCTGAGCGTGCAGGAAGGGGTGGGGGGTGGGGGGGAGAGTGGGTTTAATGTATGCACCCACGTGACTCTAGTTATATCGTTGACCTTTTCTGACAAGCAATACAAATCGAACTACATGTATCCGTCACGTGACCTATATGGTAAATTGGTATAAAAGCAACAAATCTATTAATATATCTATTATTCCCGACACACATAAGAAGACGCACGTGTTAGTCCCAATAGCATAAGGGCGGGTAGTTTCCCATGGTAAGTATATTTGTCTATTTGTTATCCACAAGGTGTTATTAACTACTTGAGAGAAACTGATCGGTTTCATAACTGTAACTAAGTATGTGTATCACAAATTCCCTGTTTTTAAATTTAATGTTATGGCGTTTTCTAATTGTACATAATACTCTAATGATGAAATATGTACATAAAGAAACTCCTTTTAATTTTTAATTTTGAACTTAAAATGGACTTGCGTATATATGTGCAGATTTAATCTTGTCGCTCGATGGCTGAAATATGCCGATGCGACGTAAACATTTTTAACTCACTCGCAAGGAATTGAGTTGTTCACGAATGCATGCGTTGTTTTGAAATGCGTAATATCTATAAAATATTTAAGTCGGCGAAAGTCTACTTCTTTACACATTAACTCAGTATTGTACAGTGTACGACTGGCCTGCTCGGAGTCAACAATGTCTTCTCTGTTTTCTGCGAATATATGCGAGTCGTGCAAGTGGCAGAAACCTTATGTGTTATTTATCATGATTACACAATGCCATTTAGAAATTTGTACTTTACTAAGAAAGGGTAATCCAAAATATAACATAGGTTACATGTTATTAATCATTTCATAACGTAGTAATCCGCATAACTTCTGCGATAGGGGCGGTGGGGTAGCCTAGTGGTTAAAGCGTTCGCTCGTCACGCCGAAGACCCGGGTTCGAATCCCTACATGGGTACAATGTGTGAAGCCCATTTCTGGTGTCCCCTGCCGTGATGTAGCTGGAATATTGCTAAAAGCGGCATAAAACCAAACTCAGTCAGTCAGTCTGCGATATTTGGAAAAGTGGAACTGATTTCTGTTATGGCCCTCTCTCTTTCTTTTCGGAATATTCCTATGTATCATGTAAAGTGATGAAAAAACGCGAGTGATGAATGACATTCATTCCATGTTGCTGAAGGATTGTATCCAAGTCAAGGAATCGCGGCGTGGATTCGAATTAACACCACCTAAGGTACACAATTCCTCATACAGTATCACTGAAATGACTCTCCGAGGACGATCTGCATGGTTCTGACGGGCGTTCGGACACATCGAGGGTCAGCATGGGAACGAATCCTAAATCTGCATACCCTAGTATGCTCTTCAAAACAATAAACGCATTAGGTTTATAAATATTAATTATGTAGGCATATTTTACATAGATTGATTGATACAAGAATGAAATTAGCATAGTACAGTGTGGACACAATGGCATAACTGATGGTCGTGTGATTGGTTGATACAAGAATGAAATCCGGTCACAAGATATGTACGTCCACGAGGGGGAGGTCCGGTGAATACCTGGTGTGACCTCCGTCTGCTGTCATCACTGCATGCTCTACACCTCATGGGTACAGACCGATTAAGTCTGTGGATTCTGTCCTGTGTAATCGTCTACAATTTTCCTGCTCGGCGTTGGTCCGTTGTGTAGGTGTCTGTGGTGTATGTTGACAAAGACGTACACGTCTATCAACGTCATCCCACAGATGCTCCTTCGGGTTCAGATCCGGAGATGTTCATAATCGGAAGAAGGTGGGATTGATGAATCTGGTCTATGTACCATTTTGCTGTCAGATTGCTTTGGCGCAAAACGTTCATCATGCTGTCTACCATCTGGGCGTTGGAGAAAAAAATCGTGACCACTAAACCGGACTCCAGTATCTAAGAGTCCATGCCAGCTCTCAACACGGAGGATACAAATACCGGTCCTCTGGGTCTTATTCGGGTTCAGATCCGGAGATGTGGAAGGACATGATAAAACGCTGACCTTTGATTTAAGAGTGAGTTACGTTTTATGCCGCATTCAGCAATATTCCATCTATATGGCGGTGGTCTGTAAATAATTGATTCTGGACCAGACAATCTAGTTATCAATATCATGAGCATCGATCTACGCAATTGGGACACAATGTCAACCAAGTCAGCGAGCCTGACCACCCGATCCCATTAGTCGCCTCGTACGACAAGCATGGGTTACTGAAGACCCATTTTAACCTCTGATCTTCACGGGTCTTGAATTAAGCAGGAAGTCAAGAGTGACAACAGCTATGTCAGGTGATACTCGGAAGAAGGTGACGCTGATGAATCTCGAATATATACCAATTTGCTGTCAGACTGCTTCGATGCAAAGCGTTCATTTCGTTGTCTTCCCACTCGGCGTTGGAGAAGAAATCGTGACCACCAAATCGGACTCCAGTATCTAAGAGTCCATGCCAGGTCTCAACACGGATACAAATACCGGTCCTCTGGGTCTTATTCCAAACTCTCACAGGCGACACCTGATTGTTTCGTCAGATACTCTCTCCCCACCAAGGAATGAATGGTTCAAGCTAGGGCCGGTGGGATAGCCCAGCGGTTAAAGCGTTCGCTCGTCACACCGAAGACCCTGGTTCGATTCCCCATATGGTACTATGTTAGAAGCCCATTTCTAGTGTCCCCCGCCGTGAAGTTGCTGGAATATTGGTAAAAGCGGCGTAAAACCGAACTGACTCCCTCTTCACACCAACCACATGTGTCCAGCGGTGTCTGTGAATGTAGCTTTGCGATGACCCAGATTTAAGACCCGGATGGAGGTATATTATATGGGTATTGATATAGCGCTATAGTCCACCCCATTTACATGCATGCTCAAACCGCTTTGTTTTTCCCTCGATCATTGGATGTCAATCTCAACGGCACATCGTATTTTCAATCTGAACTCCCTGGGGATCATACAACTCGCGCAGCCACTGCCAAGTTAATCCTTACGAGGTACCCATTCACAGCTGGGTGGACTGGGACGCTTAGTCACAGTACTTTGTCCAAGTTTTACTGCACGTTGCTGTACCTGCAACTAGGTGTGTCCACGTATGCATGTGGCCACCATCTCGGTCATTTACCAACGGATATCGTGGGTTCTTTTAAATGCATGTGTGGCGAATCTCCCATTTCCACTCCTCGGATGATCTTGGGTCGAATTGAGGAGAGTATCCCGTTCCCATAAGCGAGATGGGGTGCTCTTGTGTACGTTGAAATGACGTACAGCTTCATCTTCAAGAAGTCCTGTGGCGATGTTGCGATTGTTACTGCAGATGACGTGTCACAGCCAGCTCGTGAATTCTGCTTTTCTCTTCCATGACATTTCGTGCTGTCTAATTATAATTGCTGCATAAAGCTACAAAAATTGAAACTGTTAGGTTTGAGAACTACACACCCTGGCAAGCATGTGACTGACGTACTTCAGTTAAAGATACTGAAGGTTTTATGAGTAAACAACATTAACATTTTCATTATCTCCTAACGTTTGTTGTTTGTCTTTGTTCTTGTTGTCGTGTGTGTCACAGAGTGTATTACAGCCTGTCGTCGCTTTGTTGTTTAAACTTATGACGTACGTTCTGCTCTTGATAAAAATTATATCTAAAGTATTTCACTATAAACTGATCATGCAGACATCCTTCTGATCATATCGAACGCTAATTAACGTTGTTGTGTTTTTTTCTATGCCAGTGTTAGTCTTGTTGACCCGACACCACCAGTATGAAGTTGAGCATCCCTGTCCTTGTCGTAGCAGTGCTGGTAGTATCCGGTAGGTGACGTCTCCACCGGACTCTGTGTTCTAATCGTGTGTGGTGACTAACGCCTTATGCTGTCACTGTTGTAGCAGAAAATAATAAAAAAATTCAAGTTTTCAATATCTTGAAATTACGATTAATGCCGCGTTGCTTCGAATATTTTCTCGTTGGTTCAATTATCTTTCAAACACTCGAAATTTGAAGTTTTTGAAAGAAACTTGAACCAAAGACTGACTGACTGACTGAGTTTAGTTTTACGCCGCTTTTAGCAATATTCCAGCAATATCACGGCGGGGGACACCAGAAATGGGCTTAACACATTCTGCCCATGTGGGGAATCGAACCCGGGTCTTCGGCGTGACGAGCCAACGCTTTAACCACTAGGCTACGCCACCGCCCCTTGAACCAAAGAGAAAAATACTAACGAGAAAACAATTGAAATAAGGTTGTCCTCCATGCTAGATGATTGGACCGTTTACAACATAACAGCCTGTTCACCTCCATGAGTTTCCATTTACACCAATGTACATTTGGTAGACATTATACATGCATTTACTTACGGTTAAAGGCATTAAAGAGTTGAGTACGAATTCATTTAAATGTATCATGGATGTTTTTTTGTTTGCAAACGAAGTTCAATTGATATAGTCATGTTAGGGTGGTGGCTTGAACCAGTCATTTGGTGGTGCTGTTTTAGATACGGTTTGTGAGAGGTTGACTTAGCAGTAAGTCGGAGAGGTTAGCATTTCCTGACGTTTGCAAATGTTCACTAACATCCACCTTTAATATGTATAGTTTTTTACCCAGCGGTTTATATAATTCCACCGCATATATTTAATGCTGCCAACGCAACTGATCGAAGCCGTGAAGAAGGTTCCAGATTGGGGTCATGTTTCTCATCTTTCCCTTTGTGTCCCCAGTGACTGCGGACTTCCACTGTGGTCGGAGTGACGGTTTGTGTCAAAACGGTGGTACCTGCGACCTTGCTACTGGAGCGTGTGCGTGCGCAGCCACCTACACAGGATACGACTGTAGCGCCCTTACAGGTAAGTTGTGTTACACCCTACCTGCCTGACATACACCGGGCCACCCACACGGGAGATGAGTGTAGTGCCGTCACAGGTAAGTTGTGTCACACATTACCTGGCTGACATACACCGGGCCACCCACACCGGAGATGAGTGTAGTGCCGTCACAGGTAAGTTGTGTTACACCCTACCTGGCTGACATACACCGGGCCACCCACACGGGAGATGAGTGTAGTGCCGTCACAGGTAAGTTGTGTTTCTCTCTACCTGGCTGACATACACCTGGCCACCCACACCGGAGATGAGTGTAGTGCCGTCACAGGTAAGTTGTGTTACACCCTACCTGGCTGACATACACCGGGCCACCCACACCGGAGATGAGTGTAGTGCCGTCACAGGTAAGTTGTGTTACACCCTACCTGGCTGACATACACCGGGCCACCCACACCGGAGATGAGTGTAGTGCCGTCACAGGTAAGTTGTGTTACACCCTACCTGGCTGACATACACCGGGCCACCCACACCGGAGATGAGTGTAGTGCCGTCACAGGTAAGTTGTGTTACACCCTACCTGGCTGACATACACCGGGCCACCCACACGGGAGATGAGTGTAGTGCCGTCACAGGTAAGTTGTGTCACACCCTACCTGGCTGACATACACCGGGCCACCCACACGGGAGATGAGTGTAGTGCCGTCACAGGTAAGTTGTGTTACACCCTACCTGGCTGACATACACCGGGCCACCCACACGGGAGATGAGTGTAGTGCCGTCACAGGTAAGTTGTGTTTCGCTCTACCTGGCTGACATACACCGGGCCACCCACACCGGAGATGAGTGTAGTGCCGTCACAGGTAAGTTGTGTTACACACCCTACCTGGCTGACATACACCGGGCCACCCACACCGGAGATGAGTGTAGTGCCGTCACAGGTAAGTTGTGTTACACCCTACCTGCCTGACATACACCGGGCCACCCACACGGGAGATGAGTGTAGCGCCGTCACAGGTAAGTTGTGTTACACCCTACCTGGCTGACATACACCGGGCCACCCACACGGGAGATGAGTGTAGTGCCGTCACAGGTAAGTTGTGTTACACCCTACCTGGCTGACATACACCGGGCCACCCACACGGGAGATGAGTGTAGCGCCGTCACAGGTAAGTTGTGTTACACCCTACCTGGCTGACATACACCGGGCCACCCACACCGGAGATGAGTGTAGTGCCGTCACAGGTAAGTTGTGTTACACCCTACCTGGCTGACATACACCGGGCCACCCACACACACGGGAGATGAGTGTAGTGCCGTCACAGGTAAGTTGTGTTACACCCTACCTGCCTGACATACACCGGGCCACCCACACCGGAGATGAGTGTAGTGCCGTCACAGGTAAGTTGTGTTACACCCTACCTGGCTGACATACACCGGGCCACCCACACGGGAGATGAGTGTAGCGCCGTCACAGGTAAGTTGTGTTTCACCCTACCTGGCTGACATACACCGGGCCACCCACACCGGAGATGAGTGTAGTGCCGTCACAGGTAAGTTGTGTTACTCTCTACCTGGCTGACATACACCTGGCAACCTACACCGGAGATGAGTGTAGTTCCGTCAAAGGTAACTTGTGTCACACCCTACCTGGCTGACATACACCGGGCCACCCACACGGGAGATGAGTGTAGCGCCGTTAGAGGTAAGTTGTGTTACACCCTACCTGGCTGACATACACCGGGCCACCCACACCGTAGATGAGTGTAGTGCCGTCACAGGTAAGTTGTGTTACACCCTACCTGGCTGACATACACCGGGCCACCCACACCGGATATGAGTGTAGTGCCGTCACAGGTAAGTTGTGTCACACCCTACCTGGCTGACATACACCGGGCCACCCACACCGGAGATGACTGTAGCGCCGTTAGAAGTAAGTTGTGTCACACCCTACCTGGCTGACATACACCGGGCCACCCACACCGGTGATGACTGTAGCGCCGTTAGAAGTAAGTTGTGTTACACCCTACCTGGCTGACATACACTGGGCCACCAACACCGTAGATGAGTGTACCTGGCTGACATACACCTGGCCACCCACACCGGAGATGAGTGTAGTGCCGTCACAGGTAAGTTGTGTTACGCCCTACCAGGCTGACATACACTGGGCCACCAACACGGGAGATGAGTGTAGTGCCGTCACAGGTAAGTTGTGTTACACCCTACCTGGCTGACATACACCGGGCCACCCACACCGGAGATGAGTGTAGTGCCGTCACAGGTAAGTTGTGTTACACCCTACCTGGCTGACATACACCTGGCCACCCACACCGGAGATGACTGTAGCGCCCTTACAGGTAAGTTGTGTTACACCCTACCTGCCTGACATACACCGGGCCACCCACACGGGATATGAGTGTAGCGCCCTTACAGGTAAGTTGTGTTACACCCTACCTGGCTGACATACACCGGGCCACCCACACCGGGAGATGAGTGTAGTGCCGTCGCAGGTAAGTTGTGTTACACCCTACCTGGCTGACATACACCGGGCCACCCACACCGGAGATGAGTGTAGTGCCGTCACAGGTAAGTTGCGCCCTCTTTACAGTTTCACCCTACCTGGCTGACATACACCTGGCCACCCACACACGGAGATGACTGAGGCAGTGCCGTCACAGGTAAGCTGTGTTACACCCTACCTGGCTGACATACACCGGCCACCCACACCGGAGATGAGTGTAGGTGCCGTCACAGGTAAGTTGTGTTACACCCTACCTGGCTGACATACACCGGGCCACCCACACCGGAGATGAGTGTAACGCCGTCACAGGTAAGTTGTGTTACACCCTACCTGGCTGACATACACCGGGCCACCCACACGGGAGATGAGTGTAGTGCCGTCACAGGTAAGTTGTGTTACACCCTACCTGGCTGACATACACCTGGCCACCCACACCGGAGATGAGTGTAGTGCCGTCACAGGTAAGTTGTGTTTCACCCTACCTGGCTGACATACACCGGGCCACCCACACGGAGAGATGAGTGTAGTGCCGTCCGGGCAGCATACACCGAAGTTGTGTTACACCCTACCTGGCTGACATACACCTGGCCACCCACACGGGAGATGAGTGTAGTGCCGTCACAGGTAAGTTGTGTTTCACCCTACCTGCTCTGACATACACCGGGCCACCCACACCGGAGATGAGTGTAGTTCCGTCACAGCTAAGTTGTGTTACACCCTACCTGGCTGACATACACCGGGCCACCCACACGGGAGATGAGTGTAGTGCCGTCACAGGTAAGTTGTGTTACACCCTACCTGGCTGACATACACCGGGCCACCCACACCGGAGATGAGTGTAGTGCCGTCACAGGTAAGTTGTGTTACACCCTACCTGGCTGACATACACCGGGCCACCCACACCGGAGATGACTGTAGCGCCCTTACAGGTAAGTTGTGTTACACCCTACCTGCCTGACATACACCGGGCCACCCACACGGGATATGAGTGTAGCGCCCTTAGAGGTAAGTTGTGTTACACCCTACCTGCCTGACATACACCTGGGCCACCACACCGGAGATGACTGTAGCGCGGTCACAGGTAAGTTGTGTTACACCCTACCTGGCTGACATACACCGGGCCACCCACACCGGAGATGAGTGTAGTGCCGTCACAGGTAAGTTGTGTTTCGCTCTACCTGGCTGACATAGACCGGGCCACCCACACCGGAGATGAGTGTAGTGCCGTCACAGGTAAGTTGTGTTACACCCTACCTGGCTGACAAACACCTGGCCACCCACACCGGAGATGACTGTAGCGCGGTTAGAAGTAAGTTGTGTTACACCCTACCTGGCTGACATACACCGGGCCACCCACACCGGAGATGAGTGTAGTGCCGTCACAGGTAAGTTGTGTTACACCCTACCTGGCTGACAAACACCGGGCCACCCACACCGGAGATGACTGTAGCGCCGTCACAGGTAAGTTGTGTTACACCCTACCAGGCTGACATACACCGGGCCACCCACACCGGAGATGACTGTAGCGCCGTCACAGGTAAGTTGTGTTACACCCTACCTGGCTGACAAACACCTGGCCACCCACACCGGAGATGACTGTAGCGCCGTTAGAAGTAAGTTGTGTTACACCCTACCAGGCTGACACAGACTTGGCCACCTACTCCGGGGATGACTAGTGTCGTTACAGGTAAGTTGTGTTACTCTCTACCTGGCTGAAACAGACCAAAATCACTTACACGCAATATGACTGAAGAGTTGTCATAGCAAGTTGCATTACGTCCTGGTTGAACTACACCAGGCCACCTCCAAAGGATGACTTTATCGAACTTACAGGTAACTTGTGTTACCCCAAACCTGGCTGAAAAACTCCTGGCCATCTCCTGTGGAGATCGCCGGCTGGTGTCGGGGCAGAATCCCTTCGGCTGGGTGCTCATTGGTTTACACGGCAATCAATGTATCTTCGCCAGCTGACTTCCTGGTATATGGTGGTTGAGTTTCTGGCACCGTCTCAACCATAAGAGTGAGTGAGTGAATGAGTTTAGTTTTAAGCCGTATTCAGCAGTATTCCAGCTATATGGCTGCGGTTTGTAAATAATCGAGTCATCAACAGCATGACCATCTATCAACGCAAATGGGATACGATGACATGTGTCAACCAAGTCAGCGAGCTTGACCACCCGATCCCGCTGGTCACCTCGTACGACAAGCATTGGTTAATGAAGATCAATTCTTACCCGGATCTTCAAGGATTCTCAACCATAAGAACACCATAATATATTTAGATTATAACTACTGTGTGCGTGCGTACGTGCGTGCGTGCGTGCGTGACCCCCGCGTGTACCATACGTGTAACATGCGACCGCTGTACATATGCTTGTATTTACCGTTCGTTTACAGCTGAGGTAGACCAAGGAAACTGTACCCCGACCTCTCCCTGTCAGAACGGGGGCACCTGTCACAGCGATGGAACATCATACACGTGCCTTTGTGAGGAGGAATACATTGGGGCTGACTGTACCACATTCCGCTGTATGTAAATTATTACGCCATAACGTGTTAGGATCAACCAGCAGCGACGGTACCCAAATCGAATTTTTAATAGAATATATGTTTTGACTAAGGTCTATGCCGCTGTATAATGAGGAGTTAAGACTGCTAATCATTTGTCAGTTTTACTATATAATAGGGAAATGGCTGCACAGTATATGAAATAAGGCCCGTCCGACTGCCAGAGACGGGCTAGATTTCTGACGGACGGTCTAAATTTACAACTAGCCAGCCCGATGTTCCAATGAGATCATATGTCTTATAATTTGTCGTCATAACAGAATGATACGGAATTTGAGTGAGTGAGTTTAGTCTTAGGCCGTTTTTAGCAATATTACAGCAATATCACGACGGGGACACCAGAAATGGGCTCACACTGGGGAATCGAACCCAGTTCTTCGAACGCTTAAACCTCTGGGCTACCCCAGTGCCCCCTACTCAATTTGAACCTATTCTTGTACTTGTGTAATAAGGAGGTCCACATCTTTGGTGTGCTGTCTGACAAGGATCACATCTGTCTTACAAGTTGGTTGCTGCTTTATCGGTAACAGTACCAGCCATACCTGCATAGAACTTAGAACGTACATAGAACTTACATAGAACATCGATGCCTTTCCCAGATAAAGTGACGTGCAGCCCCGACTCCATGGCCCTTGACATCACGCCGTTTGTACCCAGCTTCTCCGGGTCCATCTTTGTGGAGGGGAACCAGGGGAAAGCAGCTTGTACCTTCACAGACAACGGCGGTGTCCAGCAGATCAACATCAACGACACCGACGCTGACTGCGGCAATGCTGGGTATGACAACGCTGTAAGTATAGTCAGCCACAACCATTCCACTTTTCTCCACGAGAGTTAGTGAGCTTAGTTTTACGCCGCTTTTAGCAATATTCCAGCAATATCACGGCGGGAGACACATCAGAATTCTTCACGAATGCTTATGTATTATGCATTAACTTTGTTTAGGGTACAGGGTATATACAGAAACGTTCTTTGGGAACATACCTGAAGTACCCGTGCCGACAACGACCCTTTCTGCGTTAGCCATAACGGTTCTTCTTTCTTCCGGGCAATGCTGCATGAACGAGTGGTGGAAGTGGGTTCTAAGGATGTGTGATAATAATAACAATGATCAAAATCAATCTACCTATCTTCAACAGACAGGAACCACGACTCGATGTTTCTACGTACTCTTCAACTCTAATACATTCACGTCACGTGACCAGAGGATTTGCGCTGTCTGTGGAGCTGGTGACACTATTAACAAGACCGTCGGTGCCGTCAATGTAACTGTCATAGACGGGTGCGTACTATTAACTGTGTAGTAACTAACCTTCCCAAAAATACTTTGCATAATACTTCATCGACCAGGTATACAGGTATCGGTAAATATAAATTCAAAAGGTATACGTAAGTATAACCAGCATCGACCATCTTTTGAAATTGTTTCCAGTGGGCTTGCATGGTGAAGTAGTGACGATAGTTATGTGAATGGATCACTGAAATTCCGCGATGACACCAGGTTTTCTGGAAATAGTTAAACAGATCCTGCTCTATCGGTAGCACGTGCCACTCACACGACGACATAAGAAAGTGTGTAGTTTTTGCACTGCATTCAGGAATGCTCCTTCTTCGATTTCTATATACATTGTATACAAGAAATGTTCTGCTCGCAACACAAACAGATTATGCATAAAATAACAGTAACCACTTTGTTGATGAAGACAGGGAGGAGCAGTAGCCCTAAACGTTCGTTAGAAATACTGTCCTTAACAATGTAACACATGTTAAATTTGGGTTTACACTGTCTCAGTAAAGTACAGGGCCCGTTTCACAAAGCGATCGTAGCGCTACGACTGTCGTAAGTCTATGTTAAAGTATGGGAGTTACGATCACCTTAGTGCTACAACTGTCGTAAGTCTATGTTAAAGCATGGGAGTTACGCTCACCTAAGTGCTACGATCGCTTAGTGAAATGGGGCCCAGATTCTAGTACTTTTGCTGTGTTGAGTCTCATCCGGGATTGCCCTTAACAAGTTTGGTGTCTGCATATATGTTCGTATGAGTAATTTGGTTTGTTCTAAATATGTGGAGCTGGTTAAATTTTTCGGTTGTCTCCCTGTAGTGACCTTGACAGTCGCACTCTTGGAAACACCCCCCTGGACACGGACGTGGCCATGGCGCTGTACGTGAACGGCTCCCTCATCACCTCCCCGCTTCAGCTTGGTGACCTCGTCATCGTCAACATCTCACTCACAGAGGGAGGACTTAAACGTAAGTGAGTGAGTGAGTGACTTAAAATTTAACGTCACATCGGCAATATTTCAGCCATATCGTGACGACTTAAACGTAAGTTTGATTTTGTTACGATGACATGCACTAGCATGCATGCAGTTGTTTGTTTGTTGTTTAACGCCGCACTCAGCAATATTCCAGCTGTATGGCCACGGTCTGTAAATAATCGAGTCCAGGACCAGACAGTCCAGTGATCAACAGCATGAGCATCAATCTACGCAATTGGGATACGATGGCACGTGCCAGTCAGCTAGCCTGACCAACCGATCGTTAGTCGCCTCTTACGACAAGCATGGGTTGCTGAAGAACAATTCTAACCCGGATCTTCACGGGTCTATATGAAAGCAAATCAGTGTAGGTCAGTGGATGCTGCTTGGTGCAGTAAGACCTCATCCTGCAGTATTTCCACCATAGGCAGCATCCGCAAAAAACATACAGTGAGTGAGGTTAGTTTTACGCCGCCGTTGGCAATATTCCAGCAATATCACGGTGGGAGACTCCGGAAATTGGTTTCACATACCCGGGTCTTTGGCGTAACGAGCGAACGCTTTATCCACTAGGCTACCACACCGCCCTTTGAACCATTCAGACTATGATTGATAATGTGAGCAATGACATCGATGACACCTGATCGTTTGTGGTCGCCTGTAACAAAGAGCATATATTGCTGGGGCGCACTTTTAACTCGCATTCCCAGTAAGGATGCCAGTCAGAACAAAACAAAGCTGGTATGAGCAGTTATTCACTCCAGAACAGGGACCCATCCACAAAGCCTAGCCTTACACGTTCGACGTTCGTAAGCCAGTGATATAGTATAGAGTTACGATAGGTCGTAACGTTACGAACGCTTTGTGAATCGGGACCCTGATCTTCAGCAACCTATTTTTGTCGTAAAAGGCGACATGCGGGATCGGGTGGTCGGTAGGTTAATACATGTCATCGTATCCCAATTGCGTCAATCACTGGATTGTCTGGTCCAGTCTCGACTCTTTACACACTGCTGTAATGTAGCTGAAAAATTGCAGAGCACGGCGTTAAACACCATTCACACACAACAAAATCCATCCACTGTACGATCCCAGCGACCACGCAATAGAGCCGATCAAGAGAAGCGTGTGTACGGGGAAATTCTTCCTTGCCGGACATGACTCCGGGTGCAGTATCTTCTTGAGATGTGTCAGATACGTTCGCTGATGCATTCGGCACCACTCGTACCTTTCCGTAACCTCGTTATTCGGCTTGTTGAGTGGGTCACGAACGTCGTTGATGGTCATATTCAGCTGTCATTCAAGCTAATCCATGCCAATTGTAAAGGACATGTTATATGTTTTACCTTCTCAAAGCATACCAGTGACCAAACGTTCGAATCCATCCTAATAACGTTATATAACAGCAGTTTGGCCAGGAACGTGGTTGTTCGATTCCTTGCTGATATTTATATTGAATGTATATCTACGTATATAATGATTCAAAACTGAATTTGTCTTCCAGGCTTTGAAAGCATCCGAGTAGAACGCTGTGTGGCCACAAATACTATGGCGGAAACTGACGCAAACCACAAGAATGCCAAGTTCATAGACGGAAGGTATGTTCCGGATCCTCTGTTTTCCGTGTTCTGCAGCACCCTGTTAATCCGGACGGTGTCATTTTTAGCCAAAATCCGGATTATCTTGATTGCTGAAATGGTGTCTTGATTGAATAGTTATCAATGGCCTTAGCTTTGTAAACGAAATTAAATGACAACACTGTTGATGGATACAAGATAAATGAATTTTAATTTACAAATGAAGAAATTGAAAATATACTGTTCTTTTTGAGGCGAAACCATTGACAGTTCTTGTTTATCTGTCTACGTGGGGAAACCATTGACGTGATCGTGACAGTGCCACAATGGGTCCCCAATGGTCAAGAGTTTGGGCTTTTTTTTCTGTCAGCACGCATGACGATGGTTAAAACTGTTTTCGACAGTCTTGATGACATAATTAGATCCACAGTTTAGACCTCAGTTTTGGATCATTTGATACGTGATATATTCTGAGCGGAGTTAAACTCGACTTACTGACTAAAACATAACGGCGCTTGAGCGACTAAAAATGCCGTGTTTCGTCCACAGCTGCAAATCAACCGAACTCGGTCTGCTGATGGTGGACGTCATGAACGGTACAGTAACCGGAGGACCAGAAGTCACCTACGGATTCTCGGCATTCAAATTCATCTTCGGTAATTCCGTCGACATCACGTGTGTTGTGAAAACCTGCCAGATAGCATCAGCATGCGCCCCGGTACGTTCCCTGTGTCTCGTGACGTCAGTGAGTGAGTGAGTGAGTTAGTTTAGTTTTACGCCGCTTTTAGCAACATTCCAGACACTAGAACTGAGGTTCGCGCATTGTACCCATGTGGGGAATCGAACCCGGTACTTCAGCGTGACGAGCGAACGCTCAACAACTAGGCTACTCCACCGCCCCCTGTGACGTCAGAATGTAATGGTAACTTCAGATTGGTAGCCTTGTGGCTAAAGCTCGGCAGGAATAAAACACAGGCTCGATTCTCCATCTGGATGCAATGTAACACAAAGATCATGTTGTCCCCAGTCGTATAGTTTTGGAGTATTGCTTCAAGCGTCGAGCGGCGTAAAGCCATATTCACTCACCCTGATTAAATCACCAGTTTCTTCGTTTTTGTCCTTGAAGCGCTTAACACGCCGCATGAATGAACCTTAAATTTAACGTACTGTGTACATTTTATGACCGCTTGCTTCAATGTTCTTCTCTACTTTTCTATCCAATCAATATACTATATATGTAAGTGAAGAGAAGAACTGTTCGAATATGTGAGGTACATTTAATGTGAGTTTAAACTTAAACGAAAAGAAGTGTTTTCAATAACAATATCAGATGGCGACTACCTTCAAAGCGACTACCATTCATAAGTTCATTTATCTTGTTTTGATTAAAATGTCTGCATTTGATATATTACAGCTAAACTCCACATATACGGCCGACGAAATGTTTGGATAAGCTGCTCCGAGGGTATTTGAAACGATTAACCAAGGAGCGTACACTTGGACTGATTGAATGTCGTTATAACCCTGACGTCAAACTGCACTGGCGCCACATACAGAACACACGGCTAACCCTGACGTCATACACAGCGACGTCAACAGCGAGCTAACCCCGGAGCTACAGACGACGACACAGCTAACTCCTGACGCCACATACAGCTAACCCCCGATAAGCTAACCCGAGTCACACAGCTGACGCCACATCAGCTAACCCCGGAGCCACATACAGCTAACCCCTGACGTCACATACAGCTAACCCCTGAGCCACATACAGCTAACCCCGGCTTCAGCTAACCCGTGGCGCCACACACAGCTAGGACGTCACACACAGCTAACCCTGACGCCACATACAGCAAACCCCGGAGCCAACCCCCCTGACGTCACACACAGCTAACCCCTGACGTCACACACAGCTAACCCCTGACGCCACACACAGCTAACCCCTGGCGCCACACACAGCTAACCCCCGGAGCCACACACAGCTAACCCCCGGAGCCACATATACGGTATCGGACCCAGTAAAACTGGACTCCTGGAGATCCGTGTTAGAATTGGTCTTCAGTAACCCATGCTTGTGGTAAGAGGCAACTAACGGGATCGGGTGACCAGGCTCGCTGACATGGTTGTCACATGACATCGTCTCCCAATTGCGTAGATAGATGCTCATGATGTTGATCACTGGATCAGGTGCAATATAGCTGAGTGCGGCGTTAAACAACAAACCAACCAATCAGTGAAATTAAACTGTCGACTTAACTGATATGAAACAAATAGAAAATATTTTTTTTATGGTGATGTTTTTCATAGCGGGTATCATAGTTATGTTGTACCTTCTTCCACAGGTAGGATAGAGCCTTGAAACATTTGGATAACTTTGTAGTTTTCTCATCAAATCCGTCTTCTTATTTTGTACACTATGTATTTTGTGCAGTTAACACAAATGCCCCGAAAGGTAGCCAGATTGTAAGTGTAACTTGGCGTGGCAGTATAACCCCAAGCTTGTTTTATGTTGTTCCGTTGTTTTACAGTTTGGGATGTTGTGGGATTTTTTGTGCGTGTTTTCTTATACAAAAGACATACATGGGCAGTCAATGCATAGTGCGTTCCGTTTAGCTAAGTGATAAGAACAATTGCTTTGGTTGTTATACTACAATACGGAACCATGGGAACGTTTGTTTTGCTTTATGAGGTCGGAAGTGTTTGAGATGTGCCTTTTTTAGTGGGACAACATGGGAACTGGGTGTTTGATATTTTCCGATGGTCTTTCCAGCTGTCCAGAAAACAACTGAGACCAGTGAGACTGTGGCGTGCACGATGAATTCGGAGATGATCACCACCGTGGTGGCGCTGTCTGTCGGGCTGCTCCTGGTGCTCCTCCTCTGCATCATCCTCATCGTCAAGGCCATCCTCAGACGCAACACCGTCTACCGCGACGACACCAGCAACTCCACCACCCAACTGCCACAACTCCCAACTCTTGTCAGCAATAAGATGTGAAGGTTGATCATCTTCTCAATCGCGCGACACCTTGATAACAACTCTAAACTCCACTAACCATGATTCAACGTGAATTTTGTTTTTTATTATTTAATATAAATAAACCACTGCATGTCATCAAGATTTGACTTCCGCGTTGTCAATAAAAGCTATATACTTTATCAATGATCGGCATGCTTTATGAGAGTGAATTTAACGCCGCTTTGGGCAGTGTTCGGGTGTAATGCTTAATGAGGGAGTAAAACCAGCGGTAACTCAGGCCCAAGACGTTCACTCTTTCCTAAAAGCACGAGCATGGTACTGACAGGCCAAGCTTCATAATCAGATTCTGGAAAGGTTAAAGGACGAAACATATATATCCCGGGGCGGTGGGGTAGTCTAGTGGTTAAAGCGTTCGCTCGTCACGCTGAAGACCCGGGTTCGATTCCCCACATGGGTACAATGTGTGAAGCCCATTTCTGGTGTCCCCCGCTGCGATAATGCTGGAATATTGATAAAAGCTGCGTAAAACTAAACTCACTCACATATATATCGAGTTGTTGCGCTTCAGATCTCTGGTGCCCTTGTCCACACATAGTATTGGATGGATTCATACAGCCGTCTGACAACCACAAATCGTTTTTGATTCATTTGAACCTTTGTTGGCTTCGTCAGATGTGTAGATCTCTCACTGAACACACCACGTGGTACCGTGTCGTTCACATCCGTCATATGGGTGGAATGTTACCCCAGTGATGCGTTCAACAGTAAATGACCGCCTCCGTGATGTAGTGGTTAGAGTGTCCGCCCGGAGAGCGGAAGGTCGTGGGTTCGATCCCCGACCGCGTCATACCAAAAGACGTTAAAATATGGTACTTGTTGGTCCCTGCCTGGCGCTCGGCATTAATGGGTACAGCAAGGACTGGTCGGCTCGGAGTCAGTATAATGTATCTGAGTGGGGATTTCATGCTTCACTGTGGCATGGTATCTCAGTGGGCTAGCACTATAAAGCCAGTTTCAGTCTGGGCTAGTACAAGCAGCCGCACATACACATACACATGCATGCACGTCGTCATATGAGCGAAATATTCTCAAGCACGACGTTAAACCCAATTTCACCTCACCTCAACAGTAAATATTTTACCGTGACATTTTATAATCCTGCATTCCAACTGATCCCCCAAGGCATCTAATGTAGACATAAACGCGGTTTCAAATTAGTGTTTGAACGTGGATTCTATGTCTCATATTTTCAACTGAAAACTTAAAATATATAAGTCAATCAGTTGTCTCTCTAATTTCCCAGTCATGACTGCAGGCTCAGTGTATATCTGAACCATGCATGTCTTTTACTGTTACTGTGCATTCCCTACACTGTATTCCTATTAATGCTCCAGGGGCGGTGGGGTACCCTAGTGGTTAAAGCGTTTGCTCGTCACGCTGAAGGCCCGGGTTCGATTCCAAACATGGGTACAATGTGTGAAGTCCATTTCTGGTGTCCCCGCGCCGTGATAGTGCTGTAATATTGCTAAAAGCGGCGTAAAACTAAACTCACCAACTCTCTGTTAGTGCTCGAGTTGGGATGATCTGGTCCCTACTCTAGGGGTATTACAATCCCGTAACAGAACTCAAAGTGTCAAGGCGTTTCACAAATAACACAGGAAAATAGATCTGAAGTAAAGTAGCTGTCACGTTTATGGGTACTCAAATTTCTACCGTCTTCAACTAGATTATATGACCATCATGCATTATATGACGAACAAACGACTGGGTCACCGTGCCTCCTTCGTTCTGGTCCAACCTTTCTATGATCTTATTATTAGAGAAAACCATCACTAATGCCACATTCACTGGAGATATTTACATAACGCTTCTTTGGAGAAAGGGCCTGGTTCAATTCAGAACATCTGATTTTTCAACTTTGTACACTATGCCAAACTTAAGTTTAAAAACCTCATTCCAAGATCCACAGGGCTTTTGTTCCAAACGTGATAACCATGGATACAGTTACATATCTATTATCAGAGGTGCGGGGCAACTGGAAATACATGATAGCATCATCTGTGAAGTTCGCTGAGCACACAATTTGTCAAATGCTGGACTTCCTCGTTGATGATAACGGAGATTTGGTAAGGCATTTATAAGAGTAGGCATCCCAATGGACAACATTCACGCTCCCCTTCTTGCTGACCAATTTACATATGCATATAAATTAGATTATCTGATCGCATTGCCAAGGTCAGAAGAACCCAATTTAGCAAAAATGTTAAACTGCGGGTATATCGATGACATGATATAATAAATTATATTTAATAAGCATCAAGTAGATATAACCTATGTCCTTACGCTGATTACCCCCCTGGACTAGAAGTAACCGAAGACCGCCTCATCTGAGACATATTCATTAGGATTCAGAGTGGTTTAACACTATCCACGTGACTGTTTGACTGAACTCCCCAAGATGTATTCTACCTCCCCTTATGTAGATCTCCGTTTCTGCAGCGACAGCCTTTGGTTTTAACATTTCACAATTTGTGATGCACATTTGACCATACCCTTTCTACGAAAAATTCAAACAGCGTCAAACTTTGTTCTTGCCCAGGAAATGTTTGATCATGATTGCAACATTCAATGACTCAGCAAAGGCCATTGAGGAGCATATTTCCACATATCAGTGACAGAAATGGTGTCCTGTGCACACCTTATTGGGTTATACCATAAAATCCAGTGATCTATTTTCATGTGAACAGTCTTTGCATGTGTTTGTGACAGATGCCTTAGGTATGGCAGGATACGCTCACCCTTTCACTTGATATCATCTCATTCACTATATAACAGTGATTCATAAACACAACCTCATCGTTCAGGCGGAACCGAACAGCTGAATCTTGGCAGAGATCTCTTCGCAGTGTTGTTACGCTGCCATTAAACAATTGCCAAAGTAAGTGAATGTGTATACTGTTGTTCAAAACATAGCATATGCACTATGAACCGATAGACAAGAAAATACTGCTTTAATTCTTAGGTACATTGGACATTTTGATTTCATTGGAGAAAGGTACTTACTAAATACAAAATAACTGTATATGGTACAGCTCAACACACATAACGTATACCTAGATATATAAAGTACCTGGTAAAAGAAGGTATGCACCAATGTTGGATAGTGTCTGCAGAGGCCCAGATAAGCTGCGTATCCGGGTCAAATACGCATATAAAATTTCCAATTACGCATTGAAAAATAATTGTTGCGTACCAATTACGCATTTAAAATGTTAGATACGCAAAAATTTTAAAACAAATGCATACGGAATATATTTATAAAAATCGCTTGCGTAATGAAAAAGACATCGATTGCTATCAAGTTGTACTGTTAGTATAGGACAAATGTTGTACTGTCAGTATAGGATGAGTGATTTTTTATGAAACCATTTCCATTATATTTAAGTTGGTTTTGATTAGGTATCACATAAGGCAGAACATACCTGCTTTGTAAACTTACTCAATGACATAATACTTAGGTGAGTAAAATGACTGAAATACGCACATATTTGAAAGCAGTGGGTAACGGAAAATGAAATACCCACTCAACATTCATATTACCCACTCCAAAAAAATACAGTGGGTACAGTACCCACATGAGCTTAATCTTATCTGGAGCTCTGAGTGTCTACAACAAAACAAACAAGAAATGTTATTTGATTCGTTATGCAATTGATACAGGTATAAAGAGGTGTTTAGGTCTTTGAGCATGCAATGTATCGGCGACTGGCTGGTAACGTTTAAAAGCGTTTGTTATTGTTTGCCATATCACTTTTAACGCTCGTACCTTCTTTTGCCCGCCTATTTCAAATCATGATCAACCTTTGTGCAGCTGCCCACCTCAAACGTACATTAAATATAAACAAATGATCTTCTGATGCTACAAGTCACACAATAGTGGTGCGGGCCCAGGCCCATGGTCGAGTAATGTAAATTGTGTAAAAGGCAGTATATGAGTAAAGCTTGTAACAATGATTACTGATTATTGTGTTTTTGAAATTAATCCCTTTATACGAAAACCATTTCATAAATAATGAAAGGCAAACGTTATCCCTTTATAAAGGAAGTAATAAACAGTAGAAGATCGAACGGATCAGCGTGTTTGTAAAGCTAGGAATACACAACAGAAGATCAAAGGGATCAGCGTGTTTGTAAAGCTAGGAATACACAACAGAAGATCAAAGGGATCAGCGTGTTTGTAAAGCTAGGAATACACAACAGAAGATCAAAGGGATCAGCGTGTTTGTAAAGCTAGGAATACACAACAGAAGATCAAAGGGATCAGTGTGTTTGTAAAGCTAGGAATACACAACAGAAGATCAAACGGATCAGCGTGTTTGTAAAGCTAGGAATACACAACAGAAGATCAAACGCCTTTGTAAAACAAGGTATACAAATTAGGAGACAAAACGGACCCGTGCCTTTGGAAAGCATGAAATAAAAAAAACAATAGACCAAATGTGCCTTTCTAAAAACATTAGGTCAATATATTATTGTCAAAAGCCGTAGTGTCGAATTTTGTCGAGTCGAACAAACGGTTGTTCCGAAATACACGTTCGGACTCTTCAATTACTTTCTCTGTGTTGAACTCGATCTATAAACGTAGGTCTCTCCAACTTCGATTCAACCCTATATTACTACACCACTGCCATGTGTAAAACTCCTTTTTTATGTTTGACGTAATTCGAGAATCACTTACCAAAGCCAAAGTCTGGCGAATAGAAAATAAGTGGTGGTTGGGGACAAAGATGAATTTACTCGGGCAGCCAATCTCGAATCACTTGCCAAATATATATATCCTCTTTCCCTCATAATATATCACTATGTTCGGTGCTCATGTCAATCACTTACTTAACACAGAATAATAGAATACATTCCACATCATCCGTTCTCGCATCGATGGGTATTGCGATCAGAAACTGATGATAGTGTACATTATTTATCTATCGAGAGTGCGTTATATTTATGATAATAAAAAGAAAAGTCCTTAAAAGTTGTACCTATAGTACTAAAAAAGTGAGGATTACCCCACAGATGATCCAATGCAATAAGAAAGAATCACATGATCCCAACCTTATTGGCCAACCTTATAATCAGGCTCTCAATAGATGCACTTGGAATATTCAAAATAACTTTCAGCCAATGATACTAGGTCTTTGTATTTTGGCAATTCCAAATGACCAATGAACATAGCGCTAGCAAATGAGGAGCCATGTGACTATGTGGTTAATCCGAAATAATTGTCCGCCTTTATGCGGAAATCGAGTTTTCTATAAATCTCTAATTTAAACACACTCTGTGTTTTTACTGATCAAAAAATGTTATTTATAAACTGATACACTTTCATTTCAAAACAATTGTAATAGATCTCACTTGTACTAGTTTAGTGCATAATTGCAGAATCGGAAAATCATTCGATTTTAGTAGCACACATTAGGTTTCCTACATCTGTGTTACTATTTTAGGGAGGGAATCACCGACACGTCAGGTCACGTGATTCAAAATTACGCCGCTGACATGCGAGTGATCGACTGAGAAGTTTGATGGCTCATGGCTTGCAAATATTAACCTCTGGATATTTTGATAAGGAAAATTGGCCGCACTTGTAGGTATAAGTACAATTAAATCTTTTATAAAAGCTTTTCGTGCGCAATAATCGTAACGGGTGCGCGAAAGTGCGACAAAGGATTTCCTCCACTGCGGCCTATTCCCTCCATATTTGCGGTGCTAGAACCGATCTCTGATTCTCTAACAGACGGAGGTTTCCTTGAAATCTGCTGCACTCATCAACATTGACTTTTTAAAAGGTTTTTCTTGATATTTGAACATCTTGGGAACATCTCTGATCATCCCGAAGCTGTCCTGAAAGGTGCATAGCAAAGATATAGCTGTCTTCTCATTCTTCTCACAAAAGTGCCTCTACAGCCTTGGACACCTCCGAGTTCAGCTCGAGATTAACACCCGAAGTGACCCCGAGTTCTACGCTGAAGTGGTATCTGTTGTAGACACCAAAGACTGGCCAGAGTGATTTGGTGGTGTCGATGTCGTGGAACGTCCACATGACGTTACCAGTCGTTGCATTCAGGAACGTTAGACTGCGGCGGTCGAGGTTAAGCATGACACCCATGTTAAGGTCGATTGTGGCTTCCTCCTCGCACTGCATGACGGGAGTGTCAAACAGAACCTTGGAGTTACAAACGACCTTGACACAGACAGCTCTGTGTGTTGAACAGATGCTGACGACAAGGCTCCATGCTCGGGGCGTTTCCCAAACGCAGTAGGAGTTGTCCAAGACGTCGCTGTGAGCTACAGCGGCCTCCAGAATCATCTTTCCAAAGGACGACACCTGCGCCAGGACTCGGACGTTGCATGTGACATTCCAATAATGGACGCCCTTCCCTGAGATACATCGACTTCCGGTAGTTCCGCAGTAATTGCTGAATCCAGCCGAGCCTACACAGAACGACAAAGATTTGCTTGTTTAAAATACGACAAAAATATACATGACACTTATGCAGGATCACTGTATGATGACATGATTTCAGATGAGAGTCAAGTCAAACATGAATTTGTGTGCTTGTTTATTTTCATACGTCACAGTATTATAGCTATCTGGCAGCGACCAGACAGCCAGTGGTTGATATTAAGAGAAGTAGTGATTGATAACATGAGTCCATTAACCAGTTCACCGTGACTGACTTCCTGTTCATTTCAACAGCACTAATGGCAGCAATGGCTTGCTACGGGTCAGTTCTAAACAGGGGGTCCTATAGGGTTCATCAGACTACGAAACACATACTCGGATACAGAAATAAATGCGGATTCCATGAGTACGGAGCATGCGTGCATGTGAAAAGCCATGTATACGTTGCAGCACTGGTAATGACGGCTTAATACAAAGCTATGGTCAATGATTTGTTTCGCTACTGACAACGTGTATGTTATCATACGTATGCTATGCATAGGTTAGTTTGCTTACCTCCCCTTTCTGAAGGTGATTTGACAAGTTTACCGGAAGTGGTGATGGTACACTGCTCGCGGTTCAACTTGTCCTCCGACAAAGTGATGTGGGGCACTAATGAAACACAAAATAAGACCTTCTCTTAGAAAAGCAATCTAAAAATATGTTTCTTGTATACACCCTATCCATCCCAACATCGGGATCGATCTATATATGTTTGTTTTCATAGTAACCTGTTTGCAAACCTCGTTAATCCAGTTGTTTTACACCACAGGGCATTTGTGCATCAAGTGGACAAATACGGTAATGTTTGGTTACATATTGTCCTCAAATGAAATGTGTTAGTTGCATTTAATAACGTATAATCACATGTTGTACTTAATGAAACACATGTGAAACATAACGGAGAATAGCACACTCACAGTTGACGGACTTGACCAGCACCTCGGACTCGCCCTTCCATGTTAGAAAATGAAGAGATCGATCCATACCATTCTCATCTGCCGATTGGACGATATAACCAATCCCTATTATATTTAGTCACATTTTTTTTGCCCCTCGTAATCTCATTGGTCTATCAAGACTTTAACTTGCTATTTAGGAAAATCATTTTGCATAATACTCAACGTCCTTAACAGACATCGTTTTCGTAATTTTGTCGAAAAATTCATTATTGATTAATAAAGTAGACGTAGAATGAGAGAATTGATTAAAGGGGGTTGTCGGGTAGAATAAAGTTATAAATATTGCGTGATGATTAAGACACCTTACAGCGCATGCTCGAAGACCTTTGTAACAGGATGATGGCTAGCTGCCAGTAGTAACATTCCAGGACAGGGAAAGCTAAGCTACGATAATCGCAGCCAGTAAGGATATAGACTGTATCTAGAAACTAGACCACAGTCTCACAATGAATCAATTACAGACTGAAAGCAGTTACCACACTCTTTGTTGTCGAAGGTGAAGGCATCGTCTTCCACCAAATACCCGCCAAGCCGGAAGTTCACCTTGTGCGGTCCAGGATGCCTTGGGGAAAAGCGGAGTTCAAAGGTCGCTTCCTGTTCCTGGGAAGGTCGAGGTTATATCATGTTTAATTAAATTAAATTACATTTTGCATCACTCTCTGTGTAATACCATTTTGGCCAAATAACTAGCCAAATATATAGAGAATCTCACCCAAGTGTCTACTGATATCAATTATATCAACACGAGTTGATAAAGAAAAAATATCCGAGGCTTGCCGAGGATATGTTTACTTTTATCAGCGAGTGTTGATATAACTGATATCAGAAGACACGAGGGTGAGATTCTATTTATCATCAAAAATCACTCTTCATTAGTTTTCAATGAAAAATGTGAATCTCTGAACACAGTATTGCCATTAGAATTGCTATGCAGCGATGTCATAGCATTGTGACGTCATCAAGTTCATGATGTCATAGCATTGTCAGGGCATTGTACAAAACCTACTGTCAAAACGATCTCACACAAGCAATATCTCCTGTGGAACACAGTTTTGGATGATAAAGATTTTTACATCCTTACGGAAATATATTTTCGCGATTCGCTAAACATCGATGCTTTTATAAAAGCTGGGTAGCATATTCTTGCCGTGAATATAATGTTTAATACTAAGCAGCTCACGACCGGCCATGTGATTCTGACATGTAAATGTTATCTTTAAGCTGAGTTGAGTTAATCGGCTTGCTAGTTTTCAAATGATTAAGTCTTATTGAAATGGGGTAATGAGTAAATTGTATTGATCGTTTGATAGTCAGTGATTTGTTTCATTCTTACTAACTTGACACTGAAACCAAACAAATGTGCCTGTGTGTCCTGGGTACTTAATCGTTTAAACAGGGATAACAAGGTGATCATGTATACGAAAATATTAAACCCTTGGTAGCACGAAAACGACTAAAAACGTCCTTCACCTTGAAATTGCCCGTCCTGTTGGTAGCTCCCGATCGAGATCGGCTTTCATGTAGAGACTCAGGCTGAAGGAAACCATTGCCGCTATGGTTGCCTGCTCCTTGGGGACTTGTGTGGACGCCGTTTGTCATCACGTCGTCGTTAAAGGAGACCTTCGACTCCACACTTTCCATCTGATTGAAGCTTGCCCTACTTCGATGTTTCCCCTTCCCTTCCTCTTGCAGGTCTTCCGACGACGCAGCTCCGATAGATTTCTGTGATCCCGTATGTTTCAGACTGGTCCTGTCCCTGGTGATTGGCGTGTACCGTATTTTTCCTACATCCTGTTCAGTCGGACTGGTATTTTCTACATATCGCTCATGATCAAATGTGCCCCTGCCATCACCTGACATTTCACTGTTATGGTAGCCACTGTCGCCGTTACTGTCGAAGTGTTTGTTGGTCTTTGTAGAATTGTGTCTACTGGCATCGGGAGAATCCACTTCGTCACTACGTGTTGATACGCCGTCATCCGTCTCACCAAGCTGCTCCAGTGCTCGGCTGATAGTCAGTCCTGAGGAGTCTTCTATCACAGCCTTCATGCTTGCAGGCTTAGGTGAGACGAAGGAGTTGCCCATATATTTGAGGAAGATCCTCACAATCACCGCGTCCCCTCCTTCCTGTAGGGAATCTGTAATCTCAATGATCACCTTCCACTGCAACATCGTATTATCCAGGTTGATGACCTCGCCTACCTTGGCCATCTTTTTTGTTATGTCGCTGAGTGAGTTGAGGTCAACAAAGATCTCCTTTCTCTCCGGCTTAGCAGGAAGCGGAGCATGGATTAGAGCATTTAGTTTCTGTTTCATGTTTTCGTTTTCCTGGAGAAAGTTGCCTGGTTTCGCCTCCTCTATGACTTTCCTGCAGTAGTCCGCGTACTCCGTCTCTGTTTGAGCTGTTGTCTCGAAGGCAGTGAGACACGCACTCGTGTGATCTCGTTCGTCTGCTACAGCAACATGAAGACTGTTCCTCAGCTCTTCCTTCTGTTTCTCAGCCTCCTCAATGAACTCAGTAAAAGTGTATTCAATTCGTGCTTCTAACTTTTTGCTCTCAATATTCAAATATAACAAGTCCCTTTCCAACTCGGACTTCTCCGACTCGGTTCTCTCCTGCTTCTCCTTCAGCTTCTCCAGCGCCTCTGAAATCTCCCTCTTTTCATCCTTGACCACGTCCTGTACATCCCTAATCTCGTGTCCATCCCGCTCCTTGTGCTCAATAATGGCGCATGAAGGACACACGGCTTTCATGCATCCTGGCTTCTCGCAGAACAGATCAAGTGTCGAGCCAGGATGTAGGGGGCAGGTTTCTGTCTGTGTCAGGTAGTTCTCAGGGAGCTTCAATATTTCTGCAATAGAGAGAATCTTGTGGCCTTTCTGTTTGTAAAATCGTTTGTGGGCCCGCAGTCCTTCTTCACAGATGTACAGCTGACAGTTAAGGCAATGGTGAGTCGCTGGCGACTTCTCGGAACAGTCGGTGCAGAGTCTTCTCCCTTTCTTTCCCTTCAGTTCCACAAATACTACGAACTTCATGGCAACATACTCCACGGGGAAGGTCTCCTCCACCGACTCCCGGACATCCCACTGTTGGCTGCAAGACGGGCAACTCAGTTTAGATCCAATCGTCCACACGTCATCCAAACACTGAGAACAGAAGCTGTGTTGGCATGGTAAAACACGTGGTATCCTGTCCTCGCTGTCGAACTGCTGCTCGCATCTGTCACATTTTAAAATGTTCTCTTTGATCTCACGTGTTGAAATCACAGGGTTGGCCATCGCGATGTCCTACCTGGAAACAAAACACTTGAATAATTATGACCAAACATATTACAACCATTATACATGTGATTAAAGAAGTATGTATGTGCCCCTTATGAGCGTATGCATCACAAATATTCAACAGCTCTTTATATGTCTCTCTTCCAGTGAACTCCCAACATGTATGTCAATCAACAGTGTATATGTTCCCCGTATAGGTAGTTTCAGCAGACTTGTTGATGAACACTGTATATGTCTCTCTTTCAGTGAACAAACAACATGTATGTCAATCACCAGTGTATATGTTCCCCGTATAGGTAGTTTCAGCAGACATGTTAATGAACACTGTACATGTGTCTCTCTCTCTCGGTGAACCAAAAACATATATGTCAGTCAACAGTGTATATGTTCCCGTACAGGTAGTTTCAGCAGACATGTTGATGTCAATCAACAGTTTATATGTTCCCCGTATAGGTAGTTTCAGCAGACTTGTTGATGAACACTGTATATGTCTCTCTTTCAGTGAACTCACAACATGTATGTCAATCAATAGTCTATATGTTCCACGTACAGGTATTTTCAGCAGACATGTATGTCAATCAATAGTTTATATGTTCCCGTACAGGTATTTTCAGCAGACATGTATGTCAATCAATAGTTTATATGTTCCCCGTACAGGTAGTTTCAGCAGACATGTTGATGTCAATCAATAGTCTATATGTTCCCCGTACAGGTAGTTTCAGCAGACATGTATGTCAATCAATAGTCTATATGTTCCTGTTTCAGCACACTGTATAGATGTTTCTGTTTCTCGGCATCCCTCGATCCAGGTCAGAATTGGTGACCAGCAACACAAATCTGTCGTAAGAAGCGACTAACTGGATCGGTGGTAGAGCTCGCTGAAGAGGCTAATAGATGTAATCGTATCCCAGGGATGTAGTGCTCACGGTGTCAATCACTGAGTTTTCAGACCCAGATTCGTTTTACATGGAACACTGTCGCAGATGAATGCAGCGTTTAAACTAGGAAGTAAAGGCACACTGAAAGTGCTATAGAGTACGGTAAGGATTCCGTATTCCATTGATGATATTAAACTGTGTGACGAGCGACATGCGTACGTATCGATTTTACTTTCCTTGCAAGTTACCTAATGGAATTACATAATAAACAATATCGATCACTTGCTTTTCACACTGTCTTCTCTTCGCATCGTGAACGATTTCACAGCGATACTCTCGCTCTCCTACAGAGAAAAGCATCAAGCACGTGCTGTAAAGTCGAACTTACGGGAACATAATCACGCATGCTGATCAATATCTTACAATCGTGTCGTTCAAACTAAAAGCCATGCGTAGGAGTTGTGTTTGTTTGTTTGACGTCCAATGCAACAGCCTACAAACACTAGACGTGAAAAGCCCGTTGTCAGGCGTATACAACTATGCATATAGTGGAATCGGGATATAGCACAACACAGCACAGCACAGCAAAGCAAAGCGTAGCGTAACATAGCATAACATAGCTTAGCATAGCTTAATTGCATAACATATCACAGCATAGCATCGCATCGCATCGCATTGCATCGCGGAGGGGTACACCAAAAATGGGCTTCACACATTGTGTCCATGTAGGGAATCGAACCCAGGTCTTCAGCATGACGAGCGAACGCTTTTACCACTAGGCTACCCGACCGCCCCGATAATCATAGGAAATCTCCACTACATGATTCTGACTACATCACAAGCATGTGTTTATGAATCAATATTAACTACACTCGAAAGCGGACCGATGAATTGCAATCTAACTCGAAAACTAATAAACATATAATACTCAATGAAACGCTGATCATAATCAAAACATCAGACCAACTCTGTGAGGTTTTTGCAGAATTTATGTCCTAAAAATAAAAAAAGTTGTTTTACAAACAAGCTTGATCGCAATGTTCTTCAATGATGTGATAAGTATTGTGTAAAAGCTGGCATCACAGCTCACAGAAATTTCCATTTGAGTAACTTTGTTGTTTAACGTCGCACCAGCAATATTCCATCTATATGACAACGGACTGTAAATGATTACGTCTGGACCAGACAATCCAGTGATTGACATCATGAGCATCAATCTACGCATATGGGACACGATGATTGTATTAACCAAGCCAGTGAGCCTGACCACCCGATCTCATGTGTCGCCTCTTGCTGCAAGCATAGTCGCCTTTGACAAGATTCTACTACATAACGCAATGATCCATCAAGCACGGAAGAAAGCAATGAATCAACAATGTTATATGTCTTGTCTACAATCTGTGTATGTCTAATCCATTTATTAATAAATCTGTTGTCTTTTTGTATTCAGTTTTCATTGTCTATAAGACTAATGCATTCTTATTCAATAACACTGAAGTCGGTGACATAAGTATTCCAATTAACCAAGTAACTTTTTTATAATGGCAAAGAGAGTTCATACGTCGTATAGTAGAATGTGTGAAGCCCATTTCTGATGTCCCCCGCCGTGATATTGCTGCAATATTGCTAAAAGCGGCGTTAAACTAAACTCACTCACTCACTCACTCACTCTTAAGGTAGATACTTTATTTCTGTATGTGGCTATTCACACGCACTGTAGAGAACATTAAAGCTGTTTGGATGCTCATAGAAATGTCTTGTGACGGTTTATATCAGAGTTTATTTTAAATTGTCCCTAGAAAGAGGAAATTCGGAATAGACAGATTTCCGGTTAGACAGCTGTAAAATAAAACACGATGATCCCACAAACAAATGTGAATATTATAAGCCTATTTATAACGTTAATTTTAGTAAATGTAGAATACTTGTGTCCCAAATATGGCAAGTACATATTCATGATTGAAGTTTACAGACACTGAAACACATGCATACGTTTTTCCTGATCATTTACTGATTGTTCTTTCAGGTTGAAAGTCAATAGAACACTTTGTTAGTTGGTTGTAAAAATAATGAAAAATATATAGAACAACAATGGTATGTACATCAGATAAAAGTATATTTTCTTCAATAATGTAAAATGTTAAAACAAGATTACCATTCTATGTGATTAGGAAATAGCCATACCATGAATGTAAACTGTATAACCCGCTGATGTAAGCTCTATTTTGTTTACTATGTGCCCACGCCTGGAACGTGTTAACGTTGTGTCGAATTTGACGGAATGTCGGATTTGACTGATATATAATAGTTAGAAATTTAATTTTCTCAACATGTCTTAAATAAACAGCTTGTAAAGCGTTATTTATGTCTGGAATGAAGTTCAAGCAAATTTGAATCAAGAGCCGCGTTACACCTCGTGTGATCACGCATTTACTCACAGGACTGAGACAAAGAGAGTGAGTATTCTTTTACGCCGCTTTAACAAAATTCCAGCAAAATAATGGCGAGAGACAATACAAGTTGGCTTCAAACATTGTTAAGGGGATTCGAACCTGGGCCATCGGCGTGACAAGCAAACGCTACCCCTCAGGACAACTTTCAAAGCATCGCTTTGATGTTACTTTTTCACTCTCCTGGTCTATTGTTTATGTAATGTGTCTTTTGAAATGTAATGAAAACTAGTCGTTAAAACATTGTAATATTTGGATTCGGTTTGTGGGTTAAGAGCAAGTAAACCATCATGAGACAACTGAAGTGTATCGCATCAATATTGAAAATGGCATAGTTTATTTAATGTTTGCACTTTCGATTGCCCGAGCGATGTTACTACTCAACAAACAAAATGTAATTCTCTGTCAACATCGGCTCTGGGCTATTTTTCATACCAACAATGAACTTTCGATAACGTACGATGCCAAATTTACACAAGTCTTACAATACCTGTGTACAGAAGTGGCTAACTGTCCCCCGGGCAGACAAACATTTCCAGGTATCTGGCTGCCACCGTCATTGATCGACTAAATGTGTCAAACATTCCACTTTCACAAACTACGTTTGTACATTAATAACCGCAGTATTGTCTACATGGAGACTGTAATTTGGTCCTGGAATTGATATTTCAGAGAAATATTGACTGATATCCTTTACAGATTTGTTATAAGGTATAGGGGCGGTGGGGTAGCCTAGTGGTTAAAGCGTTGGCTCGTCACGCCGAAGACCCGGGTTCGATTCCCCACATGGGCAGAATGTGTTAAGCCCATTTCTGGTGTCCCCCGCCGTGATATTGCTGGAATATTGCTAAAAGCGGCGTAAAACTAAACTCAGTCAGTCAGTCAGTTATAAGGTATATCCACTCGTATAGTTTGTATTTGTAACTGTTCGTTTGAAATAGACTTGATACAAATAGCGCTATTAATACGATTCCTTGGAAATGTAAGGATATGTGCACTCGGGGTGTGAATCTTAGACATTTTGTAAGAATACGGCTTTGTTCGCTCGGTGTACGGCTCTCATACGTCTCTTTGGAAATATACTGAGTCAAAAAAGAAACTTCACAAAATGTAATTTGAAAAATAATGAATAATTTTTCTCTGATGATACATCTATGTATCCGAAATGGGATCCCTATCTTTCGACTCTAGAAAAACGTTAGCAAAACCCACTCAAACCCATCCATTCGTCGTGCAAATGATGTTAGTGCCAAATCAGGTTTTGCACGTGCAGTCGATCACGTGATCTTCGCATCGAAGTTTTCGTCATATGCACATGTTTGCATTGGCCTCAAGAATTGAAAAAACACTTTTAAACCACAGTTCTAACGGTACTTGAAATGCCACGATTGTCAAATGTGCAACGTGAACGTGCCGTTGGCATGTTGCAAGCGGGAACATCAGTTATTGACGTCGCAAGAGCAATGGGATGCAGCCGTCGTACTGTGTTTGACTCGCGAGGTCGTCTACAACAAACTGGCACCACTTCTGATCGCCCAAGGTCGGGTCGTCCATGTGTGAAGTCACGAGCAGAAGACCGTCAAATCGTCCTACGTCACCTACGTGACAGATTTCTGCCGGCTACACGAACCAGGGCTCAGATGTTTAGAGGTCGACTGTCCTCACAGACCATTCGAAATCGG